GCGCCGGGGCCGTTTAAGCGGCCTCCCGCCCGCCCCCAGTCGCCGGGTCTGGCCCCCGCCCTATCCCGACCCCCGGCCTGGCCCACTCCGGTCCTTCTCTGCCGAGCAGGCTCCGCCTGGCACGCGGGCGGCCTCCGGAGCAGCCTAAGCCCATGAGGGCCGCGCGCCCAGCCACCGGTGCTGACGAGACGGAGCTCCCCGGCCCCCGAGGAGGAGCGGAGGATCAATGCGGTTCAAGAATCGATTCCAGCGGTGAGACGGATGGCGCCCCCTCCTCGCCTCGCAGCCCGTGTCGGGAGCGGGTCTCTATATCCCGCATCCTTCCGCGTGGGTCCCGGCTTCTCACCTGGATCCATCCCCCCCGTGGGTCCCACGCATTGGCCCAGGACCAGCTCCCGAGGGATTCCCCGCCCTGCTCTCCCTGAGCGATCCCCTTCCTCTGAGGACCGGGATCTTGTGCCTGACCTGGGTCCCCCCATCGTGATCTGTAGACTCAGATGCATTCCCAGACCCCAACCTTACCCTCCTTCCAGGGGATCCTCTTGCTCACCTGGTTTCACCCTCCCGACACCTCTCCGGGCAGGGCTCCTGCTCCCTCTGAACTCCAGCGGCAGGCGCCGGTTCCCGTTCCTTCGACCCTGACTTTGGCTTCCACCCCTTTTCCCCTAGGGTGCGGGGCTCCCGGGGAGCGCGGAACGGGGGCCGGCAGCTGCTGTGCCCTGCAGCGTGGTTTGCGGTAAAGCAGGGTGCTGGGCGTTTTAGATGCTTTGTTTGTGAACGGCCTTAGCAAAAGGGAAACTGAGGCACGCTCCTTTCGGCTTCGCATTGCCTGGTTCTGTCTGGGCCTTGCTGATTCTCGGGCTTATCGTCCCTGGGCGGTGCTATTTTGGGCACTGCGAAGGGGCAAGTTAACGTTCGGCTGGTGAGACCTGCTGTTGAGGCGCCTGTGTGTTAAGAAAAGAGGAGGAGGAACCCAGAAGGCGCCACCGGAAGGCTGGCCGGCTGCTCATTCACTGGAGAGCTGGTGGGAACTCAGTATAAGGAGGCACGGTGGCCTTTCTCCCGGTCTCCAAGGCTTTCTGCCGTCTAGTAATGGATGGAAGCTGGCCCGTGCTTCCGAGAGGAAGCTCTGGGTTTGTCTTCTAATTCTTTTTCGTTTAAGTAAGTGGGTGAAAGTTCACTTCTCCTGTGTTTGTGGTAACTCTCTATCCCTTTGTCTGAATCCTGTCTGAATCAGGCAGCCATCCCCATTCCCAGACATTTCAGTGACGGGGGGATTTGAAGGAAGAAAAGGAATGCATGAAGTCTTTCAAGAAGGTTACTGTAGTTGAGTTTTAGGCACTGGATTTTATTTCAAAATTTTAAACTGCAAATTTTTTCCTTTCCAACTCCGCATTTTTTCTTAGCTGTCCATTCAACCAGTATGCTTACACTACTTCATTCCTCTCCCAGTTCCAAAGGGTGATGGAGCCAAAAAGTGTATAAGAAGCGTTGTGTGGACTGTGCCATCAGCAGGGAGATCTGTTTGAAGACTGGGACTGACTTCTGAATATTGCTTGTCACTCAGGGTGTTGAATGCCTGGTACTACTGCCCCAGTGAGAACTTCCTGTCAGTGTTTCTAAGGGCAGAAAAGAACTGTGGTGTTTTCGCTTTGGAGCATGAGGTCAGGAATGAAGACTGGAAGGGCTTTAAGGGAGAAAGTGACATGTCTCAGGCACATCTTGCCATCCTGTGCGTGTGGTCTTTTTGATTTAGTTTTACTTCTCTGCACATCTGTGCTCTTCCTGTTTTCAGAGAAAATTGGCAATATTCTGTGAAATTACCCTTTCCTTATTTGATCAAGAGTTTGTATTGTTTTCCCATCCTGTAGGAGTCTTCTTTTTATTATTTGTTGCATAAATACTAAAATAGTGTTAAATGGGAAAAAAAATTAACATTCATTTAGGGTCCCACCATCTCAGCAGATTGAACTATCTTCTTTTTGCTGGACACTAATCTGCCTAGCCCTTCTTAGCACAGTAATGTAATTTTGCGCCTTGCTTTATCCATTACAAAATTAAAAATAGAGGCATTTTCTTGGGCATAGACTTTTGGTTGCACAATATTCTGTTCAATACATGTTTAGCAGTTCCTTTCCTGATGACATCTAGACCTACCCTGATTTTCTTTGAAGACTGAGTGATCCCTGCAATTTCCTGTTTATGATAGGCTAGATTGGAAGGATATTTTCCAAGGGTCAATTTGAACTTGGAAGTAAAGCCTGCAAATGAAAACTAATAAAACAAAGTCCTGATTTTTGTGGTTCACACGTTAAAAGGTTGACAGTACTTTTCTGTACCTCTTAAAGCCATACTTAGTACATATCTTTCATAGCATTCAGGATTGTTACAGGTAGGGCAAATTGCAAAGGAAGTGGAGGCAGGGACACGTCATGTTTGAATAGATGTGTTCCTTCCCCTGGTAGATTTATCAGGACTCAGATTGAGGAGCATTTGACTGCAGTAAAAAAATTTCATTGGGCAATGGTTTGTAGCTGTGCCTAAATTACAAGAAAACCCTGAATACCTTGCTGGTTTTTTCATAATGGAGACTTGATTATTGTGGCTTTGGATCAACTTCCAGAGTTCTGCTATTTCTGCCCAGGAGGGCTGTAAGGAAACTTAACCTGCTGCCTGCTGCCCTAAGTGGAGCTCTTCACATGTGCATAGCTTCTCAAAAAGGCTAGGATGCGAGAAATTCCACTGGAATGCAGAGAGCTTCTTTTATCTCTTTTGCTGTATTCCTTCCACACTTGGGTCTCCCCACAGGACACGCACACGCACACGCGCACACACACAGTTATTCTTTCCCCTTCACATTATCTCTGGCTGATGATAACTGCTAATGTTTATTGAGTGCCTGTCTATTGAGTGCCTGTCTGTGCTAGGCACTGTCTGGGTGCTTGTCTATTACTCATCTCATCCTCAGCTGTAACCCTGGTAGACAGTTTATACCCATTTAATAGAAGAGCAAAGAGCAAACAGGGTTAGAAAGTAAGGGGAACTTGCCCTTGGTCACATGGCTATGAAGGAACAGACCCAAGGGTTCACGTTCATGTCTTTCTACCGCCCATGCTGCCAGCTCACCTCTGCACCACATCTGTGTGTCCATCAGGGAGGTTCAGGACCCAGAAAGCTTCTACTTATCTTCTTGCTGTTGCACATTCATTTTTCCAGCCTTGCAGCCAAAAATCCAAGGAAAAAAGATGTTCCTTTCCTCAGCCCCTGCATTGTGATCAGCTTTAAAAATTGACTACAGGCAGTCCCCACCTTACGAACGAGATCCGTTCCTAACTGTGTCTTTAAGAATTTGTAGGTAAGTTGGAACAGGTGCATAGGGTTCTTATTTAGCCTCACTTTAGTGGAGCCCTGGTGGTGCAGTGGTTAAGAGCTTGGCTGCTAACCAAAAAGGCTGACAGTTCGAATCCACTCAGCCGCTCCTTGGAAACCTTATGGGGGCAGTTCTGCTCTGTCCTAGGATGGCTGTTCAGACTCGACCCCAATGGGTTTAGTGCAAGAAAAGGCCTGCAGGCTGTTCATTGATTTAAAAGCTGCCAGTGAAGGTGATTGTGAGGAAGAATTTGTTGCTGAAAAGGTGGCATGGTGGTTAAGAGCTCGACTGCTAACCAGAAGGTTGGCAGTTCGAATTCACCAGCTGTTCCTCAGAAACCCTATGGGGGGCAGTTCTGCTGTATCCTGTAGGGTCACTATGAGTCGGAAACCACTAAGCTTTGGCAACAGGTTTGGTTTTTGGTTTTCAGTTGTTTCAAACTGAGGGCAAATCTATATAACATTAAAGGGCAAGTAGGAATTATCCTTAAGGTGGAAGTTAGTAACCCGGGTACTGCCTGTATTGGGGTTGGGGGGAACATCTTATTCTAAAGGGCCTGCCTGTTGTCTCTTTTGCCTGTTCTCAGGGCACTGAATCACTGGCATGGAGTAGTCACCTTAGATACACATTCTCCTTTATTTAGTAATTAAATCAAGAGCCTCTCACCACTGTGACCAGCTCTATCAGTGGACACTTTCCTTGACAAGTGTCATTCCAAGGGTGAGCCTCCATCATAAACCCATTGCCACTGAGTCGATTCTGACTCATAGCCACCCTATAGGTCAGAGTAGAACTGCCCCACAGGGTTTCTAAGGCTGTAACCTGCCATATCTTTCTCTTGCGGTACAGCTGGTGGGTTTGAATCGCGGACCTTTTGGTTAGCAGCCAAGTGCTTAACCACTGCACTACCAGGACTCCTTCCTCCATCATAAGAGGTAGCTGATTGGTTAACAGTAAGGTGCTATGGGCAGGGCTCAGCTTACATTGCACCATGAAGTGATAATGAAAGAGCCCTTGGGATGTCCACTGTCTTGTCCTTTTAAGAATTTTCTTTTCACAAGTCAAGGTTCTTCTGGCTCGTAGACTGCCTGTTTCTCTCTGTTACGGATAGACAGGGAAACTGGTTAACTTTGGGATATCTCTCAAGATAAAATAGTTTCGCAGAGTTGAAATGTCTATCTTTCTAGTCACCCATTCAACAATTATTTATTAAGCACCAGCAATAAAGTAGACATTGTGTTTGGGTTGCAAATGAAGAGGTGAGTAAGTCAGTCCTGGTGGAATTCTTACTACAGTGGGAGAAGATAAAATAAAAAATAAGTTCAAAAAATAAATCAGGTCATTACCAATTGTGATAAAAGGCTCTGCTGGGGTGGGGAGGCTGGAGTACTACTTTGGGTAGGTGATCAGGAGAACCTTTCTAAGGAGGTGACATTTGTGCTTGAAGGATGAGAAGAGCAGAGCATTTGGGAGGAGAATGTTCCAGGCAGAAACCAAGAGCACATGCAAACACCCCGAGGCCAACCAGACCTTGGTGTGTTTGAGGACCAGAAAGGAGGTGGAGTGACTGGAGTGTGGAGAGTGAGAGGAAAGTGAGGGCCAGACCACGCAGAGTTCATAGGCTGCTGAGGAGTTGTTATCCTAAGTGCTTTGGGAAGCCAAAGGCAGGCTTTTAAGCTGGGGTTGGGGTGTGTGATATCTGTTGTTAATTGACTACTGTAGCTCCTGACAACCAGAGGGACCCATTAAGAGACTTCGTATTTTTACAGACCAGAGATGCTCCTGTCTTGATGTAGGTGGTAGCTGCGGAACTGTATAGAGGTGGACTGATTGGAAGTGTATTTTGAGGGCAGCGTTGCATTTGGAGAGTGAGGAACACATAGGAATCAAGGACAACTTCTGGAATTTGGTCTTAGACCTCGGACATGGTGGGTTGCCGATGCACTTTTAGAGGGTGCAGCGCTTTGAGCCAAATTTGAAGAGCTTCCCGAAAAAATCAGCCATTGAAACCCCTATGGAACACAGTTCTACTCTGACACGTGGGTTCGCTATGAGTCGGAGTCAGCTTGACGGCCACTGGCTTTTAAGGAGCTAAGGAGTGTCCCTGGGTCTGGACATGTTCTTCCCCTCCATAATTTTGAAGTTCCGTTAGGGGGTTGAGAGAGGCATGGGACATAGGACCCTGAGCAAGGGGGAGACAAGAGAGGGCTGACAGAAAAAGTGAGGGCATAAGTGAACAAACCTTGCGTCACTAATGGCCTTGTTAAGTGTAGTCTCTGTATCCAGTACTAAATCACCTTCCTCTTACCCCCTAAAGCTTGCTGGAATACTCTATTAGAGCATTGGGTAACCATTAAGGTTACCAGTTGCTTTGAGTCTACTCTGACTCGTGGGAACTCTATATATGTCAGAGGAGAACCGTGCTCCACAGGCTTTTCAGTGGCTGATTTTTGTGATGCAAGTCACCAGGCCTTCCTTCTGAGGCACCTCTCGGTAGACTTCAGCCTTTCAGATGGCAGCCTTAACTGTTGGCACCACCCAGGGACTCCATCATTGGGGTTACTCTGCATTAAATGTGGGTACCAAAAACCAAACCCGCTGCCATCGAGTTGATTCCAAATCATGGCAACCCTATAGGACAGAGTAGAACTGCCCCATAGGGTTTCCAAGGAGTGGCTGGTGAATTTGAACTGCTGACCTTTGCAGCCTAGCTCTTAACCAGTGTGCTGGTTAAGGCTCTGTCTTCCATAAATGGGTTCTGTTTTCCTAACACTTGACAACCCTTCTCTTTTCTTTCTTTGAGGAAGAGAATAGGTTCAGTGTGTGGGAGTTCATTTGCATTTTGCATCTGCTTTTCCATTTAGGTCTTAGGAGTGATTTCTTCAGGACGGTTTTGGAGGAGGCTTGATTATACCCTGGCAGGCCAGAGAGAAATGCAAAAATGGCATTGCAAATGTTCCTGCAGAACAACTGTGTTGTCTTTCCCACTGAGCCCCAGTGAATTGTTCTGAGGAGAGTTGCTGCTAGGATAGCTGCTCTTACCTTTCCTTTTTGCCTGAGTCGTGCGCTGTCCGTCATGAGAGACTATCTTAAAGTGAGATATTTTTCTCTACAACTTCTGCCTTTATTTTTAACCAGAGGTATTCCAGGTGGGCTGGGACTGTCACAGACACAGCCACCTAGCTTCTTTGCTTTTGTGAGAAACTGTGAAAGTCTGTCTGTGTTGCTGTGTAATGGCCTGACTATTTTTAGATTGGGCTGCCAGAGATATAAATTGCTATTTTAGTCTGCAGCCTGGTGGTGGGTAGACGAACCCTACGTCCTGCACCCTGCACAGAGAGCTTTCAATTTAACCTAACCTCAACCATCTTGGAGCCTTACTCTTTACCCTTTAAAATTCCTAATAGGGTATGCTACTTACAGCTCTGTTGTTGTAGCTCAGGTTAATGATGCCGTAGATCCTTGAATGCTTGGGATACTTCTAAAGCATTCTTCCCAAGAGTGTAATTATTTTCCTTTTAACTAGTAAGAGCTTACGGCAATACTCTCGTCCCTTAGGAAATTAGTAAAATTATTTACAGGATTATCAGGGGAGAAGAGATGATGCTAGAAATTTTTTTATCAACATGAGCAGTTAGCTTGGATAAATTCTGAAGCTGCTAACTGTACATTTCTCTTAGTTTTCAAACCATCTGGTGGATTCAATTCAGTAAGTAGCTGTATCACACACCAGTTAGGTAGCTAACGCATTAATGATCCAGGTAAAATATCACTGTCCCAAATTCATCCCCCAGGGGATTTTCCACCTGATCTATATGGATGGGTTTACCAGAGACTGCTATTTTATTTTTACTCATTTGATCTAAGGACAACGGGTTCTTCTTAATTCAGGGAGAATGTGTTGGCTTGTTTTTTGTTCCTAAACTGGGCATTATTTAGAATGGCTTGACCATGCATTTTAGCCAATTTTTGGCATCCTGGCTCTGCCATTTGGTTTAGCCTGGTACCATTTTTCTTCTTCTGAATTAATGAGGTGTACCTAGTCAGAGCTCATTAGTGGCAAGTAACAAAAACCTACCTTGAACTAGCTGGAGCAGAAGGATGATTTGTCACGAAGAGCCTGTTGACGTCTCGTGGACTCCCAAGTGCAGGGAGGGATGCAGCTGGGTCTCCAGACTTGAATGCTGTCAGGACTCTTTCACCTCCGTTTGCTTCTCTGCATCTGCTTCTTTCCTCTTTTATTCAGACAGCCGTGTTTTTCTCCTCTTGAGTTTACATCCCTCTTTTTCCAGAGAACAGCTTCATGAAGCTTGGCTTGGGATGGGGGCGGGTGGGTGATGAGTCTTGGTTGTGGAGGCATCTTACCCAAGTACGTAAATGGAAACATGGTATTCGACTCTTCAGGTTTTGTGCGATTCTTGTTTGTCACTGTAATGCTGATTGTCACAAAGCTAGCCCAAAAGGAAGCGTGGAATCTGATTGCATGTCTGTGCGTGAGGAGATTTTGATACTTACATGCACACATTTGTGTATTTATGTGAGTTTTATAGCCAGAATATCAGATATTAGTCATGTGTTTGGTTTTTGAAGTAAATTCTTTTAAATAAGGAAGAGTACAGGGGAAAAAAATGTACCTCCTGTTTTAGGTGGCCTACAGGTAGCTGGTATCATTTATTTAATTTGACTGGTGCCGGAACAGGTACGTAATACAGGAAAACTAGTTGGACAGGCTTGCTAGTTACGTAGGGTTCAAAGATCTACATGTATAAAGCCTTATAAATTTTGAGAGAGACAATACAGTAAAACCTGTGAAAGCTGGAACCTATGAAGGCGGAAACCTGTCAGAGAAGGAAAACTCAAGTATTTTCCAGTAAAACGAGCGATAAAAAAGTGGTAAGATTGCACCCTGTCAAAGGTGGAGAACTTGAAAGACCGGGAGAAGCAAGGCAGTCCTGTCAAGTTCTGGCTTTCACAGGTTTCACTGTAGAAACCTTTCAGATATATTGGATTCCTTTTCATTTAATGACAGCAATGAGGAATTTTAAAGTTTAGAAAAATTCTCTTGATTACTGTTAAGATTTAGTTGTGCCCACTCCCACCTTTTTTTTTTTTTTTTTTTTGAGTGTAGGGGGTACCAGTTGAAGGAAGTAAATGTAGTTTCTGTTTCTTTTCGGTTGGTAGAAGGTTTTTCTTTTGAATAAACTGAAAGAATCCTTAATCCAGTAAATTGGAGTATTTGCTTTAGGATCATTGCTATTGGCTTAGTTTACATCTCTTTAGTGGCTTTTTGTTCCTGTAACTAGGCATTTCCAGCAGTCACATCTTCATTTAGAATACGCCAAGCAACCATTGGCAGCCTTCGCCATTGTTCTTTACACGCTTTGAGCTGTTCCCACATGATGTCTTTTTGTTTCTACAGGTTCATGAACCACCGGGCTCCAGCCAATGGCCGTTACAAACCAACTTGCTATGAACATGCTGCTAACTGTTACACGCATGCAGTGAGTACAAGGTTTCTGCCACTTCCATCTTCCCCAAGGGCTTTGTGGGAGGAAGGGGTAATGATCTCTAGAAACCTCAGGACTGTTAGTTGGATTTACCCATCTCTGTGACCTTGCCTACCAAGGTATCAGTGCTGGGTCATGTCACCAGAAACTGTGTGAGTATGCAGAACGCTTTGAGTGCCCTAACCTACAGTCAGCTCTGTCCTGGATTTGTTTTCTCCCGCAAGATCTTCTTTAAAAGAATAGTAATAGTAGGTACACTAGTTACAGGAAAACCCTGGAAACCTATTCATTAAGACTGTCAGCCCTGGAATGAAATGAATCGCCTTTTCAAGACAATCAACGGTATTCGTTGGCAAGGAAAATTCATAGTTTGTTTAAAGAGGTAATTTTTTTTACTGAGTGATCCCCTGTGTAAAAATGGTGTAGCGTGGCGGTGGCATCTGACTTCCTCTAACTTTGCAAGGGGGAAGCAGAATCAAGATCAACAGCCCAAGGCTAATTCCTATGAGGCAGAGGTCAGACGTGCTTCCACCCTCCCAGGGCACTCTCTGCTTCTCTGCTGGGTTCGATAATTTGTTGCAATGGCCGCACAAAACTCACAGACAATACTCACAATTATGAGGTTTATTAGGGAAGTAACAGATTACAATTCAGGTTCAGGAATTCTCAGGATACAGTTCTTCAATCAGGACAGCCTCTTCTGAGCCATGCCCACAGGCACACCTCTCTCTGGCCCCTCGCTCTCTGCCATGCTCAGGCAAGTGTTACAAAGTTCTTTCAGTTCTGCTGATAGGTGCCCAGAGGCATCCAAAGCCTCGGCCCGAAGGCGCTCAGCTCTAGATCTATGTGCAAACTTAACCGTACCAATTGTCCAGAGGCACCCTACTCCTCCAGCAAGCCTTTTGCCCAAAGGTGCTTAGCTCTCTCGCTCCGCTCCGTGGTTGGTGAGCCTAGCTTTGCTGCCAAGTGCCTGGAGGCACCCCTGTCCACCAGGAAGTCTGCCGGAAGGTTCTTGGCTCTCTTGCTCCACAGGTTGGCACACCCACTGTAACCACCTTGCTCTGTGGGCCAGGAAGCCCACCTTGCCGTCTCCTGCCAGTCTCCTTGTTTAGCTGCCTCTGCTGCCACCGTTTTTCTGCTACCGCTTCTTGCCGTCTTTGCTGTCTCCGGTGTTACAGCTCTCTCTCTTTGCCTCCCAGCTCTAGGTCTCAGTGCAGGAATCCTGGTTCCAATGGATGTGTTCCACTCCTCGCTCTTCTTTCTTGGTGGTAGTAGGTCTCCCTCTGCTCTGCAATTGACTGCTCTTTTAAGCCTAGCAGGATGGCAAAACTGACCAATCCCCTCATCATGGTTCCATACACCTTATTTGCATGGTTCTTCTCCCACAAGGGTGCTATGTACCTTATTTACATTATTAGTAAGATATCCAATCCTCTTGGTGAGCCACTAGCACCTTATTTGCATAGTTCTCACCCAGTTATTTGGTGAGAGTTACAAAGACTATGGCTAGAAGGGTCATGTTAAGTAATCTACTACACTGCACCCTGAAACAGGTAGCCACTTCCTCCACACACCTGTAGTGGCTATTGCTTCTCAGAGCACATATTATTCCATATTGCTGAGGAAAAGCAGATTTGGTCCGTAAATTCTCAGTTATTTTTTTTTCACGCTTATAAAAGCAAAACATGCTCATTAGAAGAAACTTTGAAAATACTAAAAAATATATAAAAAACAAAACTACCCAGAAATAAATTGTTAACGCTGGTACTTTTCTACTTTTTGTATCTGTGGTGTGTATGAAAATATATGTATTTTCATAGTTTTCTTACGTCATTATAAATTTCCATTATCACTGGTTTCATTATTCCCTTTGAAAGTTGCATTTAGTGAGACTTTTGAGGGAAAAGTGGTAGCTGGTGTATAATTTTGTTTTTGTTTTTGCTGTTGTATAGTTTGAAAACAAGAACTAGAAACCAATTTACTCCTTTAGTGAAGAATTTTTAGAACAGTCTAGTTTAATGATTCTAGACAGTTTTGGTATAATATGTTAGTTACTTACATATGTCATTAGAATAAAACTTGCTTCAATTCAGGTTGTACCTTTTCTTTTCTTCAGCCCCCTCCCTCAAAGAGTAAATAGTCACAGTATTTTCTGTAAAGGAACCATGAAGCGAAGTAAACTCTAAATAAATTACAGGTTTTGGTGGATTACTTTATAATCTCACAGAACAAAGCCATTTGGTCATTACTTGGCATAAATCAAACTTTATAAAGCATCTGTTTTGTGTATTATAATAGCAAATTGAGATACTACTTGGTAATAATTCATTTATCAGTGAATATCTTTTGTCCTTGGGTGCTGAAAAGATTTTTATTTAAATAATTACTATGCTAGAATTTTGCTAAAACTTTTTTCTTTAGGAAAAAAATTAGTGCCTGACATGCCTACCCTGGATTCCATAAAAGGGCTTAAATAAGGAAATTCCAAGTAACCTCTTTTAATGGACAGTCTCACCTGAACCCATGGCTTAGATTCTGGGGACAGAAAGGATTTAGTGGAATTCGCTAGAGTTGAGCTGACCTCTGTCCTTGCCTTAATGACATGCTCACGTGAAGGGAGCTTTGCAGCACGAGAAGATCAAAATGCTGAGAGCCCAAACTTGGTTTTAAAAAATGCATGGCCTCATTTGACTTTCTGCTGTAGTTGCCTGGGTATCCATCTTTTATTCTTGCCTACATTTTCAGTGAATTTGACGGAGCTAAAAGTAAATTAAATGCTTGAGATAGTAGTTTGTCCACAGGCCCCTAAGAAAATAAGTTTTTAAATTTTTTTTTTAAGTCTAGGGCAGGATTAGAATATAAAAAACATAGAAGTTTTAACAAGAGTTAGTTTATGTGACTTGTTTCTTCACTCATGGCTTCAATATATGCATCCAGTATTTTCTCCGGTTACCAACTGTACAAAAGACTAATGAAGGTTGCAGGAATAGTTGCACTGATAGTTTGATACTGTTGACCAATAAAATAATCAATGATGTGTCTGTTACTGAGCATAAAGTTAAGCATTTAAATATAATGGTTGTGGCCGTTGATGCACAGCTCACCTTCAGGAATAATATTTGCTTAGGATGGCCATAAGTAATCCTTAATTTATCTCTTCTGGATGTGCCACGAACTAAGGAACAGTTGCACAAACTGAAGGAAAGGAAAAACTGAGGAAACCTCCACATTAATTTTTTGGAAGGGAGAGTGTTATCTTATTAAACTTACTAACCTATGTCCTAGGGTTTTGGATTTCAGAGACCAGTAACATTTCTAAAACACACAAACAAAAAACTTTCATCATCATCACTTCATTAGAGAGAGGATGCTTTAACAGGAAAAAAAGTAGGAAAGGCATAATCTCAAAATAAAGGATACTCCTTTAAATCAAATTTTGCTTTATGAAAAAAACTTTATTGTCCTTAATTTTCTCCTTTTGGTCTGGGCCAGTGAAAACTTCAGCATTTGAAAATTCATGCTGATCTTATCTGGGGGACTTCATATTCTTTTGCAACAGGGCAAAAGTAGGTATTGGGGGGAAGAAAGATAAGAAAATTGCTAAAGTTTGTATTCTTTACCGGGTATGTTCTAGCATCAAGAAAAATATTTCTGCTATTACAAAATATGTTACTAATATGACTAGACCTTGAAATTTGTGTTTATGTGGAATATGAAATATGGTGCAAAATTCTCTTTCTAAGATTCTGATCTCTCAAAATTTTTTCAGTAAGTGGACCTAGGGAGTAAATTTCGCCTGCTTACATGAAAAAATCCAAAAACTCATTGCTGTCGATTCAGACTCATAGCAACCCTATAGGACAGAGTAGAACTGCCCCATAGGGTTTCCAGGGAGCGGCTGGTGGATTCAAACTGCTGACCTTTTGGCTAGCAGCTGAGCTGTTAACCACTGTGCCACCAGGGCTTCCATGAAAGGCACTATTAAAAATGAAATAACCCAAAAACTCTGTGTGGTAGCCCCCAAATTGGTAGAATGTACACGTCCAAACTTATCAGGACATATGACTTGAGCAATTGATTTTTGTAAATGGTGCATATACGTGATTCTGATTTGATTCATTCATTTAGCTTTTGCTGAAGTGTTGAGATTTCAGTAGCTCATGGGGGCAACAGGACAGGATATTTAAAAAGCAGGACCTCTCTTGGAGATCTGGATATATGCTTGCCATTTGCATATTTTAAGTAGTTAATCTAAATCCAATTAGAAGATAGGGTGAAGTATGTCTGTATTTAATGAAATTAGGGTAAAGAACATGTTTTGCAACAGTTGAGTAATGTTGCATCCTTAACTGCTTACTCGTGTGCCAGTTGGTTGGCACGGTTCCTGGGCACTGAACAGCCGTACCTGTTCCCAGTGCAGCAACTGACTACTTTATCCGGCTCTCATTATGATTACCTGGGAGAAGCAAATGTTTGTTTTAAAATTATTTTTTTCTGAACTTGTCCCTAGTAAACCTATGTGTTTTTAGCAAAGGTCTCCATTCAGTAAAACCCAGGATTTTTCATTTTCTTCACCTTTCCCCCAGTTCCTCATTGTTCCGGCCATCATTGGCAGTGCCCTCCTCCATCGGCTGTCGGATGACTGCTGGGAAAAGATAACAGCATGGATTTATGGAATGGGCCTCTGTGCCCTCTTCATCGTATCCACAGTATTTCACATTGTAGCATGGAAAAAGAGTCACTTAAGGTACAGTGGATGGCATGCTATTTCAACAGATAAGAATGGTTGACACAACATGTTCCTTAGTCTCTGATACCAGTGTGTTTTCTTCAGGTGATGGGAAAACCAAAGAAAAAACAAAGAAAACCAAACCCGTTGCCATCCAGTCGATTCTGACTCATAGCAATCCTATAGGACAGAGTAGAACTGGTCATAGGGTTTCCAGGGAGTGGCTGGTGGATTCAAACTGCCGACCTTTTGGATAGCAGCTGAACGCTTAACCACTGTGCCACCAGGGCTCCATCAGGTGATGGGAAGAGGAGACATTTTCCTGCCTTGTAGACTATAATGCCATCCCATTATTCAGGACGTTTGCTTTGGATTGACCAGAACTTGGGGACCTCCATGTGTATTTAAGAAAGCAAGCCTTTGCTCATGGTGGCAATAGTAGAGCATACTTAGCCTCAGTAACCACAAACAAAACCTCACTGGTTCCCAGCACTTACAGCTTAAAATGCTGAGAGGGCTTTTCTAATGCTGTCAAGCATACTAAGTATGCTGCAAGAGAGAGGAGCAGCTGCGGGGTAGTCAGAAAGTACATTGAACTTGGAGTCAGCACTCAGGGCTTTGAGTCCCAGCCCTGCCACTTAACTATGATCTTAAGTATGTCATTTGGCTTCATAGAGCCTCAGTTTCTTCATCAGCAAAATGAGAATAATAATGTGTGACTCACAGGGTCGTTATGATAGGCGAATGAGATAAAGTATGTGAAAATGCTTTGAAAATTACAAAGGACTATGTGATATAAGGAGGTATACCACAGCTTCAGTTTACTGTTTTGTCAAGTCCAGCTTTTAGGATTAAGTCTGGTGGATATATTCAAACAAAATTGACATATTTTGCTACTGTTAGCTGCCAGGTACTTTCCAAACAGTGCTGTGACCCTCAGCCCCCCAGTGAAAAGGGCATAAAGGCATCCCTCCTCTGGGTGAAGTATTAATTTGGGAGAATACAAAGAGAGCGACACACCATTTAAGTGGGAATGAGTTGCTTATTATACAATAGGCTAAGAGTGATTTAAAATAATATGAGAAGAATATACCTTTTGATTTTACAGAGTGTCCAAAAAAATCTCAAGCTGTTCAAACAATCTATTATTAAAAAGATATGCTTCATTTAAGAGCGGGATTTGGGGTTTATGAGATGATTACTGGTTACCTCCCATATGGAATCATAGAATTTTAGAGCTGAAAGGATCCTTAGAGATCCTCTAATCCAAACCCCTTAATTTTTACTTGGGGAATCTGAGGCTCAGAGAAGTGGCCTGACTTGCCTGAGTCAGTGACATCAGCAGAACCTGACCCCAGGACCTCTGACTGCCAGATTTGTGCTATTTTCACCAAAACCCTTCAAAGTATTGCATATCATTTGCAGTCTGCAACCTTTTCCTATAAGGTGACAGTACCCTGGGCTTAAAATAAAACCATAGCGTTGAATCATGAGGGTGTTCTGGGACACAGAGAGACACGAAATTTCCTTTCCTGGCTCTTGAGGGTACACTGTCGCAAAGCCCAGAGGCTAGTCCAGAGCAGAGCACTTCATTATCTTCTTGGCACAATCTAACCCTTGTGGTTTGCCTAGGCTGACTTGGCTTTGATGTCTAGATTTCTGAATCAATAAAGAGTTGTAGATGCCCACTTCAGTTTTCAGGGCCTCCCTGCCAGGGCCTAGAGAGGAAGGTGTAATAGAAACCAGACTCTCTTAAGCACTGAAGTAGCACTGCTAGAATCATAAGCCACGTGTAGGGTTTTGCCTTACATTTTTTTAATATCCAAGGATAGCCCTGATTTAAATAAAGGAGGAAAGGAAGCTAACGTTCATTGATTTCCTACTGGGTATGTGCTAGGTACTGGGCTAAACACACGGCCTACATCATCTCATTTAATGCTCACACATACTCTATGGTAGAGATATTATTTGCATTTTACCTGTGAGGAGAATAAGGGTCAGAGAGGTGGGTAGCAGATCTTGAATAAGATTCCGGGTCTGACTTTACCCACCGTAACAATCTAGAAAGCAGTCTTAGAAAGGCATCAAACCTGGCTAAAAAGCAGAATCACCCAAGGAGTTAAAAACCAAAAAAAATCTCTTTTTCCCTCCACCCTCTACTCCATCTTCCAGCCCTTCTAAATTAGAATCTTCTGGACTGTAGTCCAGGATTGTATTTTATAAGCCCAGGTGATTCAAACGTGCATACAAGTTTGAGAAGCTTTGGTCTAGCGTTTGATTTTTTTAGACCTATGACCTAAATTATTATGGAGTTAAACTGTAGTTTCTGACTAGTAGACTGAAAGCTATCCTTTGCTCACAAATATAGTTTTCACTTCTTCACCAACAAGTCAGTGCATACATGGTGAGGCAAGGTGCTCTACTACATCATAGCTATTAGCCCTTGGGCACTGAGAATGGATTCAAGACAATGCTGTGCACTCATGGAGGCTGGATTCTGTCTAATCCATTATGTGACTAGACGTCAGTGAGGCGAGATCTTTGCACACTTCCTGGCTTTTCCGCAATGGGAGGAGGAACTTGATGAGAAATCCACGTGGCCACCCTCTTGCAGCAAGTGTGCCTTTGTTTTTGTTATTGCTGTTGCCAAATTAGATTTTTAATTTTCCTTATTATAACTTACTGTCTACACTAGGATATTGAAAGTGAAAGCTTCTTAAAAGACACTTTAAGTGGAGTGAGCATGAAGAATGTGATGTCAGTTCAGGGAGTTTACTGAGTTCCATGACTATGTGCCTGATACAGTGATAGGGGCCAGAGAGTAGTCTCTCCTCAAGGAATTTCATTTTTACAGTAGATTGATAGAGCTCAAAAGAAATGCAAAACATCAGCAAAGACAGATTTTTTTTTCTTGTTTATTTGTGTTTACCACTTTATAGAGTTCCTGACCATTGTAAGGTCTGTCCATGTGTCTTATGCATGGTGAGAGTACCTATTGTATCTGGACCCTTAGAAGTAATGTAAAGTTTCTACCTGTGGCCCCACCTTTGTCTGACATTGTATTTAAAACGCTGTGTGACTTTGAAGGGGAAGTTTTAAATGCCCTGAGAAACTAGAACAAGAATAGAAATTGCAACATCGTGGAGTGATAACCTATACTTACACTCATAATTTGCTAAAAAATTTACCTAAGTCATTTTTTTCCCCTTACTAGGACAGTGGAGCATTGTTTTCACATGTGTGATAGGATGGTTATCTATTTCTTCATTGCTGCTTCTTATGCTCCATGGTAAGATACAATCTTTCTATTCTGAAGATAATGTTTTTATGATACTTTGAATTCCTCAGTCTTCCCTTCCTCCCTTACACACACACACACACACACACACACACACACACA